TTTTAGGGGCCTTTAGACATTAACAAATAGTTCATTTCGTTAGAAGAAAATTTTTTTCCATCTCCACCCCCTCTCTAGTTATCACCTCTTGAAATTTGTAAAATTTGAATTTTTGACACCCTATATTTCCGAAACCGCAAGTTTTTTCAAATTTTTATAAACGCAAAAAGCTAACGGTAAATTCCATGAAACTAAAAAATATAATTATTTTTCTTAACTCACACAATTAAGCCTTAAAATCGAGCATTATGTTAACCCCTTTTTATATTAATTTTTGCTTTATTTCAAAGACTGCATATATGCGTCATCCTAAATATAGGCAATCCTAGAAATAGTTTTATATATGAATGAAAATAGTTTTAATAGTGTGATGGGTATGCATAGACTGTATTTAAAAGCAGAATTTTCACTTGTTGAAGGGAAAAGTGCTACAATACAAACCATTGGTTTGACCCAACTTTATTTTCTTTGTTTTTGATTTGTAGAGTCCATCATGAGTGGCATTCATTAAAGGATATTTTATTTTTTTTCTGTATGTATGTACACATAATTTATAGTTGTGTTTTCTAAATAATGTTACGTGTACAAACTTATACATTAAAATTATTAGTAAATTATAAGTTTTTTTTTCTGTGTAATATTTTTTATGAAATGATAGAAGAATTTCATTCAAAGCTACTATAACCGTCATATGTTAAGGTTGATGTTATTTTGTTTTATAGGAAAAAAAGAATGTTATTAAAAAGTTTTGTTGTTGTTTTTTGAGAATTTTTGTTGTCTCGAATAATGTTTTCATAAAATATTTTGCATACATTCATAATAGTAACATGTACAGGAAAATATTATAAAATTTTGAAGAGGACAGAAAAAAAAAGGTAAAGGCCATCTAACAAGGTTATTGAACATGTCAAATTATGAACAAACATTTTTAATTATAAAAAGGATACATAAAACGAGTATATACCGAAAAAAAAATTTTAATTTTTATGTCATATTTAATGTTTCTGCGTTCTTTGTTGGTTGTTTTTTTGTTGAAAGGGTTGGAAACTAGCCTGAAGCAAAACAAATTTAATAAATTGAAGATCAAGTCAAAAAAAAACATGCATAAGATATAATATGTATATATATATATAAATATATCAATGTACATAAATATACTTTAAGTACTTGAATATTATTAAAATTTTTACAAAAAAAAATGCGAAAAAGACAAACGTGGGTGATCAGAAGTTCTCCTTTTTCGTTTTTTGTTAGCTATATAAAAGTTTTCGAAATTTTAAGTCGCAAAATTTAATTTTTGAGGTTCAAGGTCCACAAAAACTTCATGTTCATGTTTATGCTGCTGTTATAATTTATATAAGTTTTGCAAGATGTTACAGTTAATTGTGTTTGTATGTAGATATACTTACAAGCGTCTATATACTTTTTTTATATAAAAATATTTTCCTGTTTTTAAACAAAATTTTTATTTAAAGTTACATTAAGAACTTTTTTTTTTCGATGACAAATTACAGACTAAATTTCTAACTAAATGAGAAATGTTTAGGATATAGAAGTTTGTTCATTCACAATATAAAAAAAAATTTCCGGGATTCTAAACGATTTTAAAAGATTAGACCAAAATTTGTGTAATATGTAAGGCGAGATTAAAATGACAGTGTTTTGGTTTTTGTATAAATTTTCCCCCTATTTTATTTGAAAAAGTAATAAAGTTGGGACAAGCAAATATTTTGTAATATAGCACTCTTCCCTTAGCTCAATTAAAAACAATCTTTGTAACTAGCTTCATTAATAAAATTATTTTCATTCATATACGAAAATATTTCAAAAATTGCATACATTTAGGGTAAACACAGCATGCATTCATTGAAATAAAATAAAAAAAAATTTGAAGAGGCGCTAACAGGATACTCGATTTCAAAGGTTAATTGCGTGAGTTAAGAAAAATAATTATATTTTTTAGTGTGATGGAATTTACCATCAAAATTTTACGTTTATAGAAATTTGCGAAAGCTTACAGTCTCAGACGTATAATGTGCTATAAATTCAAATTTTACAAATTACGGGAGACGATAACTTGAGACGGTTTGGAGGTGGAAAAAAAAATTTTATCTAACGAAATCAACTATTTGTTTGTGTCTAAAAGCCGCTAAAACTTTAAACTCCTACAACTTGAAGTCTTGAAGAAAAACAATATCAAAAATTTTGAAAAAACTAATTTTAAATAACGCAAATTTTAGCAGCCGCTTTGTTTTTTTTAAGGATCAACAATGCTGTGCCGTGCTAGATAAAGCTTGCCACTACTTTTCTTCGTTTGTAAAATTTAAAAACTGTTCGTGGTTTCGTTACAATAAATAGTCCAAAAACTCCATTTTTAAGATTTGTTGTGGTTATAACTTCTAGAAGGGGGGATATAGGTAAAAGTTTTGTTCGAGGGAAATAAGTTTCTAGTAAAGATCTTTGTACATATGAAATTTCGAGGTTGTGGAAGTTTTGTAAATATGGACGGACGGACGGACAACAAATTGAAATTTATAAACATTTTTTTTTTAAATTTTTGGAAAAGTAAAAATAAAAAATTTGTAAAAATTCATGAAAAAATTAAAAATATTGCTTTATTAATAAATGGTGTTGGAACATGAAAGAAAAATATTTTCTCAAAAAAATATACAAACTTGCTAAGATTCAGATCATTCGTTTTTTTAAAAATAAATTAAAATAAGCACCTCGTTTTTGCTGCAATTGATGCACTCATTTCTTCAAGCATTTAATTATAAAAATATGATGTACATAACATTATTATGCAAGAATAACTATACAATTCTTTATTATTATAGCAAGAATTTTAATTCAGCAATTAGCGAATTATTTGCTATACTACTTATTCAACAAAATTTAGAAGAGAAATATTAAAAATTGCTTAGGTCATTAAAAAATGATTTTTAAAATTTTTTGAAATTTTTAATTCAAAACCTACTTAAAAATTGAAAGAGCTTAATTTTTTGTTTTTCTTTGAAATTTCTGATTACTTGCTTTTAAGTTAAAGAAAGTAAAACAAAATCCTGAAAGATTCACTTAAATAAATGTTTAAAAGCTTCTTTTGACACTAATAAATTAAGACAAAATTTTACAAAAAGACCCTTGTTATACAAAGTAACTAAAATTTTTAATTTTTATAAAAATGATGACGGTATAAGCCGCGCATCCAGGAACCTTTTTCATTATTATTTTCCTTATTACTCTTTTTTTTTGTTATCCCGATAGAAGCATATTCTAAGAAACAAGATACCATTGACAAAATAAATCCAGCATGAAAACAATTAATTACACAAAAAAAAATCCATGAGCAAAAAAAAAAATTTCAATTTACCTTTAAAATATTGTCGCTCACACTCGGAAAATTTTAACGCGAAAAAAGCAATTTACAATTCAGTAGTTCAACAAGTTAATAATGAAAGATGACAAATTACAGTAAATAAAATATTATTTTTATTATTAATGTTTATTTTGTTATTATTATTGTTGCTGTTGTTTTAAATGAAGTCGTGACTCCTCAATTAAATTAATTTGTATGAAAATTTTAAAAATAAATTATAATATTAAACTAAATTACGTAATTAAGGGAGGTGTCGTCAGACATATTGGCTTTTTTTTTTTGATTATTTATTTCCTGTACTCAAAGATAGTGTTGAACAAAGCTAGTATACTTGTTTACATTGGTAATTATTTGCTATTATATAGAACATGTTTTTGTACATGCATGCAAATAAAATTATATTTTATTTTTATAATTATAGAAGTGCAAGATTATATCAAATAAATAACAAATTTTTATAATCATGTGCATAATGTAAATACATTGTGTAGTAAATATTATGTACATAAATTTTATACGTACGAAGTAATCAGTTTGTTTATTTTTGTAATTACGGTTGCAATATTTTTCTTGAATTAGTTTTCCATTTAAGTTTAAATTTTCTTCAGGTTTTAATGAAATTTCTTGGTTAATAAAATAAGGATTATTCTCAAAAAATATTTCAAAAAACTCCCAATGTTCCCAAGCAATATAAAATTATGAGAAAAATAGCCAAACAATAGCTATTTCGAAGAAAAGGAAAAGTTTAGCAATAACAATTCCCACCAAATGATACGTTGGAGTTTTTAAAGTTTATCTCAATACTGCAAATAAAATTACTTCACTTTCTACAGTTAAACACAATCACGAGAAAATTGTATATTTAAATTCAATTTGACTAATGTAATATGAAAATAAGATATAAGATTTTAAAACTTTGTTTCAAATTTGAAATTAGCGTATTTAAGAGAATATAAAGCAACAGTTTACTTGTACAATTGTACCTTAAATTTATTACAAAATATTTATAAATTGTGTCATGTGCCAGTAATTTTGTGAAGCTATTCATTATAATATAATGAATAGCTATATATAATTCATGTCATTATAAAAGAAGACAATTTTTAAAATAAGATCACAACCTAATTCACCAATATTTATAGAATTTCAAACTGGATTCCAAGCAACTTTTGTAATATATTATGGAATATTTTCCAATACCTTTAACGAAAAATAAATTATGTACCAAAGCTTTTTCCATGACTTTAGACAAAATGTTCCAATTTGGAATTTCATATGGATATAATATTGGAACAAAATTCTACTACGTGGTATTTTGAAATAAAAATAGAATATTTTTCTTAGAAAAAAAATTTCAAATGACGCGTGAGAAATTTTAAATGAAAATTGCTTGGTACATTTTTCCAACAAGCTTATTGAAAACTTTTTAGAGCAAAATTAGATGGTGCAATTTGGATTGGCACAATATTAAACCAGGGAAATTGGGAACTGTAATAACAATTCGTGCAAAGCTTGAATAGCAATTTAAATAATAAATTTAAATTTGTTATCAATTTTAAATAATATTCTTCAATTTATTTAAAATTTTCCAAAAATAGAAAAAAAAATAATTTTATTGTTTTACCTGATCTACCAGTTGGTATTACTTGTGCTGATGATGTTGTTATTGTTGTTTTTTCAGTTGCTGCCGCCGGTGGTATTAATAATGGGCCAACAGTTGATGTTGTTGTTAAATCACAACATTCACGTTCTGGAAATTCACTACATTTAACTAAATGTGCCAATAAGGCCACTAATATTGAACAACAAGTTAATATTTTTTGATTTTTTATTTTATAACGTGTCATTTTGTAAAAATTTTCTCCTTAACTTTAATTATTATCTTATATTTCTTATTATAATAATATAACAGAAAAACAAAAAATTTGAATTTAATAAAATATATGTAGGTATATAATAATATTATGAAATGAGAAAATTTAATTGAAATTAAAATGAAAAGCGCAAAAAAACAAACAAATATTTTGTATTATTAATAATTATTGTGTATAAATAGTTTTAAATTAAAGTTTTATTTTATTAAAATTAAGAGAATATTTAGCGCGTTACTTTAAATATTTTTGCGAGAAAAGTAAGAGAAGAATAAGTAAGAGAAAGAAATTGAAGAGAAATAAAAATAATAATTTTATTAAAAATTCAAAATTTTATATAAAATAGAAAACTATATATATTCTTTATTTAATATTACAGTTTTCTTATTATTGTTATACACATATTATTTAATTATCTCTTGTTTTATTACAAAACTTTTATAATGAATTTTTTCCTTCTCTTATATTTTTGTTTTTTCCATAATTTTTTATTATTCTTACTCTCTTTTTCTTTTTGTAATTATACCTGTTATCTTTATTATATTAACAAATTAAATTATTTTATACATGTGTATATGTGTGTTTGTATATAATAAGTAGATATATTATTATTATATGTACTATGTATAATAATATTTAATTTAATTTTGGTTTTTGTTTTTATTTAAAAAATATTTTTTATTTTTTTATATTTTTTTTTAATTTATTTTATTTCTTTCTTTTATAACGAATAATATTGTTGTTCTTTTTTGCTGTTTTATTATATTTTCTTTATATTTAATTTTTTCCTTCTCTTACGACGTTTAATATTATTAAATGAACTCCTTTTTCGTCGTATCCGGAACATGGATATATTTTTTTAAAATTGTGACAAATGAATATTTTTTAAATTTTTTGTATATTTTTTTTTTATAATTTTATTATGATTTTTTTTTTGATATTTTCTTTATGTTCTTTAGCAATAGTATGATGAGTAATAGTAGTAGTTGTTGAGCTATTAAAACAATTGAATAGTAATTATAAATGTACGACTTTGTAAAATATTTTTATAATAAATAGAACTGGGGTAGTAGTTAAAAAGTAACAATTCCATTCAGTTTTATGAATATCCTTTGTATAATCCTTTATAAGATTTTTAATTTTATATACAACATTTTCAAAAGTATTGAGGATAAGTATATGTTTTTCAGCTTGTATTTATATATAGAATATTTCTTTAAAAAATATGTTTATTTTGAAGAAAAAATAAAAATAAGGGGAATGTTTCCTTTTTTTTATAACTTTATTTTTTCCTGAAAATTTGTTTTTATAATAAATGCATTTATTAATTTTCAACACTTGTCATCTCTTTGTTTTTATAATTTTCGCTATTCAAGTTTTCTTTACTGTTTTTTCTTCTTTATAACATAGTTATATTTTTATATGTAAGTATGTAAAGTATATATATATTTTTATATTTTTGTGTTTTTCTGTAATTTAAAAAAATAAATTTATTTATATACATAATCTTGTCTTCCATTTTCTTTTTTTTTGTTTTCTCTCTTAATGTCTTTTCATTTTGTGTGTTTGGTAATACAATTTTAGCCCTTATTTATAATAAAAGAAATGTGTATCATTTTAGGTTTGTTATCGTATATGTGGACACTTAAAAAATTAAAAAATGGAATAGGAAATGAATTTTTTTAAAGTAATCAAATTGTAAATGTGAGTATAGATCGATAGTTAATTAAAAATTCATTGAACCATATGAAATATAATTGCAATTTTGAATTATCTGAATTATTGAAGTAAAAAATTTATGATTATGTGTTATAATATGAAATATTTATGCATAGTAAAAATTTCTTGAGGTAGGCATTTTATTAAAATTATTAAATTTTAAAAATAATCCTTAATATTAGGATTTTTTTAAGATAGACTTAATTTTTATTAGTTTCATTTGAAAAATAGCTTGCTATACCGCAGATTTTTACACATTAAACCTAAACCTTTTACACATTATATATTGTATATACAAAACTACTCTTATATTATAGGTAAAAGATTTCTTAAATAGTCGAACAACTTCAATTTTGAATTCATAATTTTTTTAGTATTAAATGTGCAGAAAATTTAGCTGCATGAGCCAAAAACTATAAATGTGACACTGTTTGAGAAAAAATCCTTACATATATTTGGTTGTTTGTGCGAATTTTCAATTACACATGCATACTTGTATATATATTTTTTTTATATTAAATTTCAAATTTTTCATGTAAAAAAAGTAAAGTGAAAAAAAATAAGAAATAACGTTTTTCTTTTTTTTTTGGTGAAGGATTCTAAATGAGAATAAAATTAAAAATTTGTGTTGCATTAAATTATATACATACCAAATAAGAAAAAAAAAGGAGGGAGCAATCAAAACGAAGAAAACAAAAACCTTGCACAGAATCTACGTATAGGTTGCAACTTTTTTTTAAGATACACAAAACATGTCTCCATCATAAGCTTCCTAAATTCCTTCCTTCTTTTTTTATATTTTTCTTAAATTTTTGTTAGAAAATATTTTGTTTCATTTTTATTTTATTTTCTATAAAAATAAAAAAACCGGAAAAGATAAACATTTTATACGTGTTCTTTAATATTTTTCTATGGAAACATTGCAAATATTTAATTTCGTTCTGAATACCGCTGTATAAGACCTATGATATATTCATTATGCTACTAGTTACCTATACAATATAGAATCATCGTCAATATTCTCAATTAGTTCATCTAGAAATTAGGAGATAAATATATAGTTAAAAAAAATTTGCTTTAACTATTCATTTTAAAAATTTCACAGAATTTGAAATATTTTCAATTATAACTACTAGATTTTTTTAAATTATATAGAATCATATTAGGTCTATTGAAGATAAAATTATCCTGCAAATTTCTTGCATGGATAATTTTATTAATTAATTTAAAATTAATTTTATTAATTAATTTTTTAAAATTAATTTTAATTTCTTCATCTATAAAAATAAATTATTAATAACTCACATATTTCTCTCAATTTTATTCTCTCACATTTCTATCTTGAACAGGTTTAATTATAATTCCTTATGATATACTGAATTATCTGTCTTGGACAGAACTATTTGCAATCAAATTCTTCTTACTTAAATACTAGGCATCAAAATAATTTTTATTTGGATTTATTTATTCTTCAGAAGTAATTAATGAGCATTTCATTAATTTGTTATTGAAATTAATAAGTGGGGCACATTAATAAAACATAATAATATTACTTAAGCTTTTCAATTCACCCTTTCTAAAAAAAATTCAACCTTACCTTAATGGATAATCTTACCTTATGTATATATACATAAAGCCCCTCGAAATATGCAAAATATAGAATTATTTTTGACATTTTTTCATTTTACCACCCCAAGTACCTCAAGTACCCTAAGCTATATAGCGATCATTTACACGAATTTTCTTCATTTTCTACTTCCCTTTTCCCGCTATCCTTCAATACGATTTCATGTTTTTGCAAATTCATACTATTTTTTACTACTTTTTCCCCTGTTTGCTTCTTGTAATTTTTATTATTCGTTTGCTTCTTCTTGTTTTTTAATACAAATTTTTTTTTTGTGTACTTTATTCAATGTTTCTTCATTTCTAAAGCGTAAATATTTTATTAAGTTTCAAGTGAAACAAAAAACCAAAAATAATCATAAGAAAAATTAAAAAAAAAAAAACAAAAACATGGGAAGGCAAAAAGTCTTTTTCATTTTTTTATTTTTTGTTTTTCTTATACTTTTTTTTTGTTCGTATTTCTTCTTGAATTTGTATTACAAGTAAAAACGAATGTGTCATAGAAGAACAACAACAAAATAGAAAAGGAAAGAGAAAAAACAAATAGAAAAGTAAAAAAAGTATAATTCAAAAAAAAAAATATCCAAAATTGGAAGTGTAAAACGAATTGAGGAAAAGAGAGTAAAAATTATAGAAAATAACAAAAAAAAGAAAAAATTACGAAAGAAAAAACATTGACGACAATTAAATTGCATATATCCTTTTTTTACACTTTGAGGAATTTTTTTTTTTTGAAGAAAGTCTGTGATCGTTACTAGCATACGGTAAAAATGAAAAACTGAGAATTTTATATACAAAAATTAAAAATTGTTAAAGCCTTTTGTGCAGAAATGATTTATAAAGGTGCACAATTTTTATAAAAAATTTTTATTTTGGCAAGCGATTCATGTTTTTTTTTGTTTGGGAAAGGTATAGATATTTTGGTACCTTCTAACAGCCCCGGATTTATCATACATGCAAAGTATGCATTTGCAATGGGCGATAAAAAATAGGGGCGCCATTGAAAACTTAAAAAACCCCTAAATTTAAAAAAAAAATTTCACCCAAAAAAAGGATTCCAAGTTTTTTTTTATACATCAATTTATAGCGAAATTAACTTAATAAAATCTACCTACATGCAAACATAATATTTTGTTCCTACACATATTTTCTATTTGCACCATATAACAAAAAATGTTCATAGAATTAAAATTACTCATACATTTCTTTACTCTACACTACTCTTTCATTCTTATTTTTGATACGAATGCAGAACATATTTTTTTGAATGATATGAATCATCAGATTACAATTATTAATATTATTACTTTTATATACATTATAGAATGAATTTGTATATGCCTATAAACACAGAATATTATTCCACACAGTTGTATACATTCAATTGTTCATATATATAAGTGAAATCGTCTCATATAATATACATATAATATACGCAAAAAGTAAAAATATTCAAAAATACACATGTACACATAATTTATATTGTCTAATATGAATAAGATCAACACTCATGCGTACACATATAATTATCTCATAAAGCAAAATTTTTATTTTGCTGAGATTGCTCCCTATCAACACTCGCTCGTACACATATAATTATATCACAAAGCAATGTTTTTATTATGCTTAGTGGCTACACTCGTTCGTACACATTATATTTAAATTGTTTCATACATGCAAAATTTTATTTTTGCTTAGTTGGCGCCCACTCACCAAACAAACAAACACATTATTATAATGTATTACTTTTCTGTATACTTTTGCATTAGTAAACAACAAGAACAAAACAAAAAAAACACAAATTAAGAATGAGAATAGAAAGAAATTAGAAAAAGAGAATGAGAGCAATATTCTTAAATAATGGAATGCATAGCTTGATATTGAGATTGTGTATACCAATATTTTGTTTTTGTTTAACAACAAAAAATTTTGAATGAATTTTAAAATTACATGATCGTTATGAATTTCTACTACTATGTTCTGCTTTCGTTTTTGAAAAAACTGTTATCAATCACAGAATTAAATTTTAATTGATAAAATCTACTACTTGTATTGAATTGAAAAAATGTTGTTTAATAATCAATCGAATGTTAAGAATTTTATGTTGAATTGATCTTGTGTAAATCATCCAAACAATAAAAGTAAAATGAAATGGCGCATAATTTGTTTCACACATTTATCTCCAAAATTAAAACATTTAAGCAGAACAACATTCTGAAATTTCAAAAAAAAACAAGCCTATAAATACCAGTAAATGCGTTTATTTTAATAAAGTCTAAAAAATTTAATGAACAGTATAAAAGCTTGTACCAATGTTTATAAAAAGCTTAGTTTTCAAGTCATAAATTTTAGAACAAAACTTTGATTTTCCTTAAATTTTTGAATGCAAGTCGAAACTTTTTTTATACGCTGCTTCATTTCTCAGGCGATTTGTGAAATAAAAAGCTAAATTTTATTCGTAAATTTAAAATTGCGAATAAAAATAAAAATAAATTTTTACTTTTTTTCATATTCAAATAAGCTTTGAAAAAGTTCATTTGATATCATTTTCATAGAACCTTTTACAATAAGTTTCACTTGTAAGTCAAAAAATAAATTTTTTGGTTGTTAAAATCAAAAAATCAAGTTTAAATGATTGATATAAATCTGATCATAACTTAATAAAAAAACGTACAGTTAAATAAATTACCTTGTTTTTGAGTTTAAAAAACAAAAAATTGAAAGTTTAGTTCTAGACTTTAATTCTATAATTCAGCATAATAAGGTTACAAGAAAGTGCTTTATGATGCACAATGTGCAATGCCCATTAAATTTTGTTCACAGTAATAAAATAGGTGAAACGGTTGAAGGGGGGGGGGGGGGGGCGCACTTTTTAGGAACCGCTTAGGGCGACGAATACATCAGGACCGCGCCTGCCTTCTAATAATATCGTGTAAGTTATTATTAAAAAATTCAAATCAGTCAGGTGTAGATTCCATTCAGCGCAGCTTAAATTCTTACCAGAATACTGGTTTTAGTGCAGCATACAATCAGGATGGCAGCAAATGATAACAAGCTCAGAACACAATTAAAAATAATAATTATTTGAATTTGAAATTAAAATCGAGATTA